TTGAATTGATGAATCTAAAATTTTGGTTTGGATTGATTGTGCAATATAAAAATTGAATCTAGCTTGCAAGTTAGATTGGCCAGAACAAATTAAATAAAATGCATTTATTCACATTAAATTTAACTTTTAATCATATTAAATTTAACTTTTAATCACGTTAAATTTAACTTAAATTTTTAAATCGAGTTAAATTTAATTTTTAATACGTGACAAATTTAACTTTAATATGTGACAAATATATTAAATCATTAATAATGGCTACCAATAGTTCCAACTCTTCGCAATCTGTTCGTTTACCAGCAATAAAGTAGGAAACAAGTGCCACTAAAGCACTTTTAGCATTTTTAGATACTCGAAAAGAAGCTCTTGATGCTTTAAAAAAAGAACGTGGAAGGGCTAATGGTAATGGACCACTTTGGCAAGAATATAGTTTATATTTAGTTTCTCAATACAACCTTAATTATACGGCTCAACAATGCTTTATCAAATTCAAAAACTTGTCACAAAAATATAAGGTATATAGTTATTATTGCTATTTAAGTAAATATTAAATAAAATTATTTTATATAATTTAGAGTGGAAAAGATACAGAAAATCAAAGTGATGGTGAAGCAATAATTATTCCATTTCGTACTGAACTTGACAATCTTTTAAATGAAGAACGAGCAACATTTAAACCTGTTGCAATAATATCATCCTCTTCAACTTCAACTAATACTTCTGAAAGTATTCAATATATCAGAAAGAAAAATACAAAACAAAATGTTAATTCAGATGAAAATAATTCTTCTTCAGATAAACAACATATTATCAAGAAAAAAAGATTATCTAATATTAACAAATGTATGCGCATATTAGAAGAAACTTTTGTACATAAAATTGAATGAGATCTTAAAAGAAAAGAAGAGAAAAAAAGAAAAGAAATAGCAAAAGCTGAAAGACAAAAAAATCAGGATGAAGAATGAAAGCTTTTAATTAACTTGTTAATGAATAATAAAAATTCAACAGGTATGATTATATTTTATTTTTATTGAAATATTTAATATTTTATTAATATAAACTTAATTTTTTTAAAGCAATCACTTCAAATACCACTTTTTATTCTCCTCCTCCTTCTTCTGCAAATACTCAATCGATTTCTTCATGTTATGTACCTTTTCAATCAACTTCTTCTGTTTTTGATATTCCTTCTGAATTTTCTTCAAAATTTATTGATCCAACTTTAAAAAAAATAAATTAAAATTAAAATATAAGTTTTTTCTTAAAAATTTAATACTTATCATACCTTTTATTCAATTTAAAAGATGTTTTCATCTTCATCTTCATCTTCATATATAATTTTTTTATTTTTATATTGATATAAATCATGTGCTATACAATCTCTAATAAACACGTAATTATTATCATTATAATTTTCTTCAATATTTTCTTGTCTTTTAAATGTATTATCTGCTTCTAATAAACTTTCTTCAATTTCATCACCATGACTTTCACAAATATTATGCAATATACAATAAGCAGATACTATGCTTGATATGATTTTAGTTTCAACTTCAATTAGTGTACGTAAAATTTTCTAACGTGATTTAAGAATACCAAAAACTTGTTCAATTCTAATATGAGTTGCTAAATACACATAATTATAATATTGTTGTATTATTGTAAGATGTTCATTATTATGATATGGTACAAGAAGCCAATTAGTATTCGCATAACCACTATCACCAAGTATATAAGAATTTGGTGATCCTGATTGTGTTACTGGATTAGAAAATCTTTGATAAAAAGATGAATTGCGTAAAACTCGAGAATCATGAGTAGCACCTGCCCAACCATAATAAATATCAAGAAATTTGCACTGATAATCACATACTGCTTGTAAAACAACACTATAAAACTTCTTTCAATTAAAATAATCAATTACATCTTTGGATGGAGCTTTAATTGGTATATGACTTCCATCTATTGCTCCAATAATACGTGGAAATTTTTTTATTACTGAAAAATCTTGGATTATAATTTCAAATTCATTTATTGTTTCAGGAAATCTTTTTTAAAAATATTATTAATTAATAATATTTTATTTAAATTTAATTTTAAATATAATACTAACCTAATTTCATTTTCTAGAAAATTTTTATTAATCATCTCAATAAAATTACGTGATACATAATGAAAAGTTGATTCTGCCATACCACATAATTCTGATACAGTACGCAAAGTTCTACCATTACCAAGCCACCAAATTGTCACAGCAAATTTTTGTTCTAAAGATAATCCACGTAAAGATATTTCCGAATCATTCATAAAAGGAAAGAGTAAATTAAATAACCACTCAAATGTTGATTTTGTTAATTGATAATGTCTTTTAAATTCCAAATCCGATCATTTCAAACTTATAAAAATCTATTCTATACTTCTTTGTCTAATTTTTTGATGTTATTTTTTGATTTTATTTTTTTCTTGCTCTGTTTCTAAAACCTTAATTACATTTACGATAATATTGAGAGTATCTTCTTCAGATTCTTCTGATGAGGAATAAGAAGAAGAGCTTGAAGACGAAGATGATTCATTCCATGATTGAATAAGTGCAAGTATTGCCGTGGTATTATTATTATTATTTAATTCATTATTATTATTATTTGTTGCTTTATTATCCATTTTTTATAAATTTAGATATGTAGTAATATTAGCCAATTAAAATTGCAATCTAAAATGCATGATGAAGATATTGGTTTAAATCACGAAATCATGTGAAAAAGTTTAGATTTGGTTTGGATTGCGTCAAACCAAAACTAATCTAAGATTGATCAAAACCAAATCCAAAACCCCTATGTAAAGACACCCAATATTATAAACTTGGATATATATTCTCAGTACAATCTCAAAAATACTCAAGAGAAATGTCAGAAATTAAAAAGAATATTGAAGATACTCTTGGAAAACGTATACATGATAGATCATACAATGTCACTCATAAAGTATACTTTATTTACAACTCAGAAGAAGAAGCTTTTGATAATAGATTTGAGTTTATACCAATCAAGTTGCATCACTTAAATAAGAAGGAACTATTGAAGATTATTAATTGATTTTTGCAGGAGCAAAAATTTTCTGAAGGAGGACCAT